AAGTAACCAGGGGGCAAGGGGGAGCAAGCGCGAGCAACGCGCCATCCGTGAACCAAGGAAGGACCCAGGCTAGGGTCTACGCGATGACGGAGGCGGATGCTCAAGCTAACCCGGATTCCGTTGCAGGTATTGCCTCTCGTATACTAGTGTTTTATCCTTAATTAGTCCATAAATTGAGGTTACTAATTGTTAGGATCATTGCACGAAGCTTTAGGGTCGAACCGGGAGGATTTCAGGTCATTTCGGGCTGATTTTGCCCAGGCACGGTCGTGCCTAAGGCACGCACGATCGTGCCTACAAGGCAGTAGCTGCCTGCGCGTTTCCCCGACCCAGGCACGGTCGTGCCTAAGGCACGCACGATCGTGCCTGCAAGGCAGTGTCTGCCTGCGAAATTCCCGACCCAGGCACGATCGTGCCTAAGGCACGCACGATCGTGCTTCCAAGGCAGTAGCGCCCAGGGTCTTTTCCCAAGCCAGGCACGATCTTGCCTACCCCAGGCACGCCGTGCCTGGCACCCAGATTGCCGAGGTGCGATTTTTCGCACCGTTTTGCGACGTTAAGACCTTTTTCTTGATCCTTAACGTGCGTGTGAACATTGTAACCTTCTATAAATGAGTAGGGAGGGTAGGAAAGATGTCTTACATGGTTCATGAATGTAGGGACACTAAAGATTAATGGGAAGGATGCGTGAATCCTTATCGATACCGGGGCGCAACGTTCATTTGTGAATGAAGCGTTCGCCAAGAGGTTGGGAGTGCAATCCGCACCATTGATGCAAACCTTAGTGGTATCAACACCACTAGGGGATGACATGGAAAGAAATTGTTACTATCCATCTTATGGGGTGGAGGTTAATGGTCAAACCTTGACGTGTGACTTCGTACCGCTGAGCATGATTGAATTCGATGCAATCCTAGGGATGGATTGGCTAGAAAGGAACCATGCTAGGGTAGATTGCTACACGAAGGTTCTTGAAGTCGAAGGCAATGATGGGGAGACCCTACGCTTCGAGGGCGATCGAGGGAGATCAAATAGTTGTATCATATCCGCCGTGAGAGCGAGAAGTATGATGAGAAAGGGATGCCACGCATATCTAGCATACGTGGTTGACAAAACCAAAGAAGAAACGAACATCGATGATGTGAGGGTGGTTTGTAAGTATCCGGATGTCTTCCCTAAAGACCTACCGGGGCTTCCACCTGATAGAGAGATTGAATTTGTGATCGAGGTCGAGCCTGGTACCAAACCAATCTCCATACCGCCATACCGTATGGCACCCGCTGAACTTAACGAGTTGAAAACCCAATTGCAAGAGCTTTTGGATAATGGTTTCATTAGACCAAGCCACTCCCCGTGGGGAGCACCAGTTCTTTTTGTGATAAAGAAAGATGGGACACTTCGAATGTGTATTGACTATCGTCAACTGAACAAGGTCACAATCAAGAATAGATATCCTTTGCCTAGAATTGATGACTTGTTTGATCAACTACGAGGGGCAACCGTGTTTTCAAAGATTGATTTGAGGTCGGGTTACCATCAATTCAAGATTAAGGAAGATGACATACCAAAAAGTGCTTTCCGCACAAGGTATGGGCATTTTGAATTCCTTGTTATGTCGTTTGGGTTAACAAACGCCCCATCGGCATTCATGGACTTGATGAACCGAGTATTTCATAAATACTTGGACCGATTCGTGATTGTGTTCATAGATGACATCTTGATTTACTCAAGGAGTGAAGAAGAACATGAGGAGCACTTGATACTTGTCCTCGAGACACTACGGGAGAAGCAACTCTATGCCAAATTCTCTAAATGTGAATTTTGGCTAAAGGAAATTGGCTTTCTCGGGCATGTAGTTTCGGGATCGGGAATTGCCGTTGATAGCAAGAAGATAGAAGCCATTACCGAATGGGAGAGGCCAAAGAACGTCAAGGAAATTTGTAGTTTCCTTGGGTTGGCAGGCTACTACAGAAAGTTCGTGGAGAAGTTCTCCGTTTTGGCGTCGCCATTGACGAAGCTCACTCGAAAGGGAGCTAAGTTTATATGGAATGACAAATGTGATAAAGGATTCATCGAACTGAAGAAGAGGTTGACCGAGGCACCGGTACTTGCATTATCCAAACAGGGCATGGGGTACGATGTCTATAGTGATGCGAGCATCCAAGGGTTTGGGTGTGTGTTGATGCAGGAGGGGAGGGTAATTGCCTATGCTTCGCGACAGTTGAAGAAGCATGAGGTAAATTATCCTACCCATGATCTGGAGCTGGGAGCAGTAGTGTTTGCACTGAAGATTTGGAGACATTATCTCTACGGAGAGACATGTCACATATATATTGATCATAAGAGCTTGAAGTACGTGTTTACCCAGAAAGAGTTAAACATGAGACAGAGACGGTGGATGGTGTTGATAAAGGACTACCATCTAGTTATTGAGTACCATCCAGGCAAGGCAAACGTTGTAGCAGATGCCCTTAGTCGGAAGAGTTCGTCTGGGGCATTTTTGACTAGTTTGAGGGCACTGAGGGCCCAATTGGATGTATCTAACGACGGTGCTTTATTGGCACGATTCGAAGTGAGACCGACCTTACTTGATGAGATCAAGAAGGGTCAAGAGACTGACGCAGAACTTATGAAGGTCCGGGAACGCATGCAAGCGGGACCGGTGGAGGATTTTAGGGAAAGAGATGATGGTCTCTTGTTATTTTATGACCGAGTGTGTGTGCCGTCAGATGATGAGCTCCGAAAGTCCATCTTAGAGGAGGCTCATTCATCGGCTTATGCCATGCACCCGGGGGGCACGAAAATGTACCGTGATTTGAAAGAAAGTTACTGGTGGTCTGGAATGAAGAGGGAAATAGCCGAGTATATCAGTCGATGCCTTACTTGTCAACAAGTTAAGGCAGAACATCAGCATCCAGCAGGCTTGTTACAACCACTTTCCATTCCTGAGTGGAAGTGGGAACATGTGACTATGGATTTCGTGGTAGGTTTACCACGGACAATTCGGAACTACAATGCAGTTTGGGTTGTTGTGGATAGGCTCACAAAGAGTGCACACTTCTTGCCTATCAACACTACCTACCCACTTGAGAGGTTAGCCAAATTGTATACTGATGAGATCGTGAGGCTGCATGGGGTCCCAGTGACCATTGTATCCGATAGAGACCCACGATTCACATCACGTTTTTGGCCGAAATTTCAAGAGTCTATGGGAACGAGGTTGAAGTTCAGTACTGCATTCCATCCACAGACGGATGGGCAGTCTGAAAGGGTTATACAGATCTTAGAGGATATGCTGAGGGCTTGTGCGTTAGAGTTCCAAGGAAGTTGGGACAACCACTTAGCACTCGTGGAATTTGCCTATAACAACAGTTATCAGGCAAGTATCGACATGCCTCCATATAAAGCATTGTATGGGAGGAGGTGTCGTACACCGTTATGCTGTGACAAGGTTGGCATGGCCAAACTCGAGGGTACTGAGTTGGTTGAGATCACCAAGTCAAAGGTGAAGTTGATTCGAGAGACACTCAAAGCGGCTCAGGATAGACAAAAGAGTTATGCGGATAAGCGTCGAAGAACCTTAGAGTTTAAGGTTGATGACGAGGTATTCTTGAAAGTTTCTCCTTGGAAAGGAATCATTCGATTCCAAACCCGAGGGAAGCTTAACCCACAATACATAGGTCCATTCAGAATTATAGAGAGGATTTGGGCCGTTGCATATCGTCTACAGTTGACTCCTGAATTAGAGAAGATACATAATGTGTTTCATGTATCCATGCTTAAGAAGTATGTACACGATCCCTCCCACGTATTTGAAAAGCCGCCTGTAGAGGTACGTGAGGATTTGAACTACGCTGTGCAACCAATCAAGGTCACCGATAGAAAGGTGAAGAAACTGAGGAGCAAAGAAGTCCCAATGGTTAAAGTACTTTGGAAGAGCGATCGGGTCGAAGAAGAGACATGGGAAACAGAGGCTTTGATGAGGAAGCAGTATGCTTTCCTATTCGAGTAGAGCTGTGAATTTCGGGGACGAAATTCCTGTTAAGGGGGGGTGAACTTGTGACACCGCACCCGAATGTCCTTGGAGATTTGATTTAAATATTCAAAGTTTATGTATTGGATTTCTGATTCCCAAACAATTGTAAAACGATTAATGTTTTACATAATTAATGATCGAATATTGTACTGTTTGAACTCGTATATTAGTGTCGGACATACAGATACTATTTGGGACTTATTAATAGATAAAGGAGCCCAACATTTTCTAAATAGTAATATATGACCTTTCAAGACAATTTGAGGAAGGTCGGGCGGCCCAAACATTATTTTGGGCCCAACCTGCTAAAAATAGCAAGTATTCGAGAATGGCGTTCTAGACCCACTCGGGAGTGACCCACACGGCTAGTAGCCCAATGATATGTATGACAAATGCCAAATAAGTGATAGAATGATTAAAGAAGAATACAAATGCCTATAACCCCATCTTTGGCCTTATTGAGCTAAATAATGGGAGTAAGATTTTCCTTCTATAATATCCATCAAGTAAATTATTGGGATGAGCCTACACATATTGGAGATCAATAATGTGATTTAGGAAGTTGACTTGTTCTAAATAAATTAGGATGAGTACAAAAAGACATCTTTGACAAAGATAAAACAATAGGACCCATCTTCCCATTTTTTTTGGAAGTATTGGTAGGTGTTTTGGACCCCAAAATGATTGGGATCAAGGGGGAACCACTCCACATGATATTAGTACCTTCAAGACAAATAAAAATGGGTTAAAAGACTTACCTTGGCCGGCCAGTATGGAGAAGAGCTGCACATGACTTGATAAGAATCAAAGTTTGGGCCACCACTCTTATTTTCGCACAAATTGGTGTGCTGTTTGTCTCCTCTCATTATAGGAGCTTTACTCAACCAAATAACGTGTATGAGGTGTCCTTGGATAGAATTTGAAGTCTATTTTCATATTTGAGTGGCCTCTGTTCGAGGGGAGAGGGTTATCTTACAAAAATCGAGCTGGAGTGAGAGGTGGTCTGTAAACTCGAGCTGTGAGAGTGCTGAGGCTGTTTGGTTGATATCTCGAGTTATACCAATCCAATTAAGGCGTGTGAGATACCAAAAGAAATATCTCGAGACTAGGAATCCGTGAAGGTCTGGTTTGCATCAATATGAGTAGTGGAAGACTTCCAAATTGTCCGAGCAAAACACAACCTCGCAGAAACGGATTTACTCTTCTAAAGTGAGTTGTTAACCCCAAAACCTTTCCTTTCATTTTCCAAATGATATGATCGACTTGTGGAACTATTATACACTACTCCAAGTGTATAATATGTACTTGTGAAGTTATTTTATTGATGTAAAGGTTGGATACTAACCTAGAGCAAATATTGGATAAACTAGGAAACGAGTTAGCCGGAAAACACCCATTCTAGGGACTGTTTTCGTATCGGCGATTAGGGGCTGAACTAGCAACTTGAGGGGGATGTTTAAAACCCATTTTCAAGCAAGGAACCAGTTCTCAATCTTCCTTGACCGAGGCTTTGGTCATTGGATCGAGAAGGAAGGTTTTAAAGCTCATTTGAGGTGAGGACCGACATCTAGTTGCTTACAACTTGTAGGTTATGCATGAGATTACCTAAATGTTTAAATCATGTTTTTGTGAATAAATATGCTTGAACATGATATGAATGATAAGTAATGGACTTGATCATGAATTGAAACCATATTGAAGAATATGGAGTCATGTGAGATAGAGGTATGCTAATATGGTAAATTGACCTTTCCAACTAATGTATGAATGTGATGTGTATGTAAATGTATAATTGCATGATGATGCTTGACACATGGGAGGCTGCCACATATCTATTGATATGGAGGAGCTACCATTAATGATAAATGAGTTGTAGGAATAATCTTAATAGTATTGTGATGCTAGTTAAGGATTGTCCTAAATGTGTTGAATCAAACTTAAGGTTTGAGTTTGTTTGTGATGAACTTGAATGAGATTCAAGTGTCAATTGGTGTGATTGTATGAAGTAGGAGATCTATGGTGTTATTGTATGAAGTAGGAGATTTATGGGGTGAATACATGAAGTAGGAGATCTATGATATGATTACATGAAGTAGGAGATCTATGATGCGAGTGCACGATGATGTACTCGAGCCGAATTCTAGAAATGAGAAGTTATATTAGGGTTGGACCCTATGTATGTCGTGACTATTAGTCACGGGGTTTGGGAAATGTTTTGTGATAAACATGGGCCTGTGAGCCGACTACTTGACTTATATAAAGTAAGTATATATTTTGAAGGGGTAATTTGGGATTACAGCCTAAACTATACTATCACCCTATTTGAGGGTCTTGTGTGTGAAATACTTGTTGTATATCTATTAGATGCCTGCCACACCAGTACTTTATAGCCGTATAGAGTACTGACCCCTTCGGGGGCGTCCCACACCCATTTCAGGTTGAGGCTAGAGCTTGCATCCTGTGCTCGTTGATCGAGTGATCCCTAGGAGAGAAGACTTGGTTCGTGCTTCCTCCATTCTATTTGAAACATTAATAAATTTGCTCATGGATATTTCACTTTAGAGCCTGCGTGCTCATGAATAGCCCTGTGTGGCCCTTTTGTTTAAACAATGTTTTCCGCTGCGTTATGAATTAGTTATTATGTTTGTTTATGGATGTTATGTGTGTGAATGATATTCAAGACGCCTTGTATAATATGAATGTGTTGGACTGCGGTTGACTATTCGTATTGTACGGCGGGTTGTTGACGTGTCCGGGGAGGTCCGGGGCGTGACACTTTGCCCCATCAAACCTCTATATGACCATCCTTTCCGGGAAACTGCATACCCCACTTCTTCCTCCCCACAATTTACGAACACAAATGTTTCAGTCACTCCTATGTCTTTGTCGAGCTATGAGCCACAGGATGAAGTGGAAGAGGCAATTTCAGAGAAGCTATCTCACCTGGAAGAAACACTCAAGAAATTATTACAGCAACAAATGCAAATTCAACATCAACAAATCCAAATTCAACAGCAACAAATCCAAATTCAACAGCAAGCAGACTCAAGGATGCAAAACATGGAGAATCAATTGTGGCAGATCGCAAAGGCTTTATCTAAGGAGTCCGAGAGATCCCATCCTAGCGACACAGAAGCCCAACCTAAGGAGACCAATAGGGATGATCATGTGAGTGAGTCGGACTGCGAAGGTGGGAATATGATGGATGATACACTTCCTGATGCTTTTGAAGACCCTCCTATGTTTGGAGATGAAGAAGAAGACTTTTCTATGGTGCAGTTTGATTACGATGTTGCTCCTACTCATTGCTTTGAGACATCTTTTGAGCTTCCGGTGATACCTAGAGTAATCAAAGTTTTCACTCATGTTTTTTGTCCACCTGAAGAGGATGAGAGTTTCATACTTCACTTCTGTGCTGATGAGGGTTATGAAGACCATGTGCTGCCTTCGTGGGCTGACGAATTTAAAGATCTGCGCCACCTAATGACATTTGTTGAGAGGAAGCTGGAGATGTTGACTATAAGTGCACCACTACAGTCTTTGCTATTGGAGAGCCTATGTGGTAGTTGTGTCGGGCAAACGACGTTAAAAATAGCGCTTCTCGGGAGGCAACCCGAGCTTTTTTCTGCTTTTGTTTTTTGCTTTTGCCTTGTTTGTTGTTTGGTTGTTTTGCTTTGTGTTTTTGTTGCAGCTCAGGGGTCTTGTTATAGGGATGATGTGCCGAGGATCATTGACTCAATTTAGTTCTGCACCGACCAGCGCTTTAGGGAAGTTTTTTTGACTCTTTTACTCGATTGTTGAAATATTTACTTGAGTTAAGTTGAGTACGTGTGACCCTATCCTCTTTACCCCCTTGTGCATAGTGCATTTTTGGTCATCGAGGACGATGCCAAAGTTTAAGTGTGGGGGAGTGAATTGGGCATTCGGGCAGTAGTTGTTACATGTGATTTTTAGAGTTAGCATGCGCAGGTGTTAGTTGTATATTCATAAGGAAATTCATGTCAAAATTTTTGAAAATGTTTCTTTAAACTGTGTCTTTGTGAGCTGGCTAGCGTTTTGACTATGCTTTTAGAACATCTTTAAAGTATTTAGGCTTAAATTGATTGCACGGTAATCTAGTTGTTGAAAGGATGAAGGCATTAGTCACCCATTGAATTTTACGATAATCATCCACCCCACCTGAAAGAACCCTTTAGGAGAAGCCATTTTGAGTCTCACTGTTCTTTGTTTACCCAATTAATTTAGCTCCATAGCCAAATGGCCTGTTTTCTTACCCGTGAATATTTCTGACTTAGTTTTGATGTTTAGGGAATTAAGGGATTAATTTGTTAAGTTTAGGGAATTGTGTGTAGGAGCCATTTTTGGCACTGTTCCTATGCTCCAAATGGGGTAAGAGCAGACACTTTTTAGGAATATGATATTTTCGAGGATTGCATTGTAGACATGGATTTACTTTGAAATAAATGAACTTTAAATTGCTATTTTTCCTTGGTGAGGCGGAGATTAGAATGGGGTAATGTCTAGTAAGAATCCGAAAGGTGAAAAATTAATATAGCTAGACCTCTTACTTTTCGAAAAAGAAAATGGGAGCCCCGATAAAAAAGCGTAAGATGAGACTTGGGTATCTTTCGAAAGAAACGGCGTTCTCGTGCCAACATGACAAGGAAAACTAAACTTAAATTAATGAACTTGGAGGCTATTGCAAAAATTAGCTTTAGTCCTCCGTGTACTTCAAGTATACGTCAAAGCACAAATGTGCCGAGACGGGTTAGCTTAGTTGTACACCATGTCTACTCTTAGCATAGGTTTAAATGATTGTTCCTAAATTGTGGCCTACTGAGTTTCTTGTTCCTAAGAATAGCCCTGAAGTTCCTGAATACATTGAGTCTTTGTTAGAATATTCCAATCTCTCAAAAGAAAGGGACTATTTTTGTTATCCATGAACCATTCACCACCACCTTCACAAGTCCTTCTGATCGATAGCTAGTTTATTTGTGTGTGCTGTCACTACTTTGAGGATGTTGTGAATAATTTTGTCAAATATGTTAGCTAGAGTACAAAGATGTAGTTTAGGAAAGAATTTTCTTGGTTTAGACTCTCTGTTCTGTGAATATCCCTTTAACTACGTGTGCATGCTAATTGTTTTGATTCCGTGTGGTGATTATCGTAAGTCCCGTTGTTCAGTTTGCTTGAGGACAAGCAAAGGCTTAAGTGTGGGAGAATTTGATAAGTCCGTATTTTGACACGTATTTGATGCGTGTTGAGATCGGCTTTTGATGATTTTCCTAGTTTTAAGATGTTACAAGTCTCAATTTTAGCTCAAGTTCTGTTTACCGGGCGTTGGTTCGAGTTTTGTGTTGTTTGTTGTCAAAATCAGGGAATTTGAGCCCGACACCGGCACTTGAGGAACAATCGGGATGATTTGAGAAGCATTTGAGAATGATTTGATAGCTTTGGAGGTCACCGGAAGATTCACGATGAAGATTTGAAGGAAAAAGAACTCTAGGATTGGCTACGGGGTCAAAAGAAGATGAATGAAGCTTGAAAACGGCGATCAGGATAACCTTCTGTCAATCGTTCAAGCATATCTCTTTGTAGAAACATCCAATGTACACGATTCAAGTTCCATATGAAGGCCAACTTCAAGGGCTACAAATCATATGAAGACACCTTTGCGAGAATCTGAGAGGAAGAAGGTGAAAACAGACGATGAAGTCAGATGATCTCTGCTGCGATTTCAGAAAGACACCTTCCACCGTTTTGATCATAGCTCTTGATTGGATGATTCAAATCACATTCATAAAATTGGGGTGGATAGAGGACTTCATTATCTACAACTTTCATGAAAGAAGTTTTGTCAAATTCGGAAGTTACGTAGGCACAATCGTGCCCTCAAAGTCAGACACGATCGTGCCTGTAGAGAAAAGCATCGCGGAGTTACTGCCAGCCAGGCACGATCGTGCCTGGAGGGAGGCACGATCGTGCCTGCCCAAAATGCGCGTTTTTGCTCCGGAGGCACGATCGAAGGCACGATCGTGCCTGGCATCGTGTCTAGCTCCGAAAATCCTAATTCAGCTCAAATTTCACCCGATTTTTCTATTTAAACAGCCTGTAAACCCCCGTTTTCAAGGGGGAGCTTAGAGAGAGTGCCTAGCACGAATTTTAGAGGGTTTTTCAGCCTTGTTCATCAATCTTTTGGTATTCTTTGTAAGTTCCATCTTTTTAATTAATGACAATTAATTCTATTCTTCCCAATTCTATTGATTCTTCAATCATGAATTGTGAGTAGTTTTAATTAGGGATTTGGGATTGATGAAGGGGTTGATCATGATGTATGACTAGTTACTTGATGGATTAATTGCATGAATGCCGTTTAATTTGTGTTTGAATAATTTAATTGATATCTTTTGTAACTTAGAATCGCGACTAGAATTACAATTGCATGTAGAATAAATTAAGAGAGATCTAATTTGTTCTAGGACACATTCACACACACTTAATCGTTCGCTAAGAGATTAGTAGCGATTAAGGGGCCGTAAGCTCGCTCGTCTTGGCAATAATTTAGGATCCTGTCGCATGAGAGATTAGCCTGGTCCCCTAAATTATTGTACTCTACGCCGCAAGAGTGGTAAGAACTTAGTAATGATTAGCTAGGCTCAATTAAATTAATTTCATGTAATTAGGCCTGATCTGCCAGAAATCTGGTTACCCCCAGAATCGATCCTTGTTCCCTTCGTCATTAATTAGAAAGAACCCCCTAGTTTAATTGTTCGCATTAGTTTTATTTTTCAAACCAACCAATCTTGCACGACACTTTTATTTTATTTTATTTTCTTTTTAATCGCTGAATTTAATTAATTCTTGATTCCCTTTTGTCCGTCCCTGTGGAGACGATACTCGTACTTACACAATTACACCACTATATTACGATCTATTTTAAGTGCGAGAAAACTCACATCATTGGGCTAGCTCAAACACATACACAATCCACTCAAAATCCTTGGGCTTACGTGTTGGGCCCGAGGCTTGAAGGAATAAACCTCAACAAGCACAATTTATACTCTTCCTCTATTAAAGATGTACTCCGGAGGTGTAGGATTGAGTTGATTCAGTTTAACATCAATGTAGTCCATGAAAAATTTGGAATCGCCTCTAGTATGATTTTTCATTTTTGTTTGAGGTTGGTGATTCATTCATTATTTAAGACTTCAGGAGTTGCAATTATTGACAAGTTCATATGTACCCACCACTATCACTCAGAAACTGTCTCACACCCCTGACCCTGTATAAATAGGCAACAAGTCACATAACAATTGCAAATCACGTTCAGAGTTAGTGAAAGGTTTAAAATTTCCAGCAGTTTTTGTATCCGCATAGCCTTCATTTACACATTTCACATCTCTATGAGTTTTTTTGTTGTTGCAGGCTTCAACTAAGATGTTGTTCAACAAAGTTATGGAGTTGAATTCAACAAGGACAGATTGTGCCCTAAGCCCCTAAGAATGATGTCGGCCCGCACCTACACATACCCTATGTTAAAAATCAAGCAAGATCAGAGTACTCCTAACATATTAGGATGTGTTTTTTACTTTTTTTAATTCCTTTGAATATATGGAATCTCCATGAAATTCATATCTGTGTCTGGACAAAAAATAGTTGGTACTAATTGGCATTAATTGATAATCCCTCACTTGCAGGTGAATATTTGAAGTTTCAGATTTTATAGAAGTTTGTAAAGTTTTATAAAAAAGAAAAGGGAAAAGGTGCAAATAGACCCATGTACTAACAAAAAAAAGTCAAATAAGCCCTTATTTAGGAGGTTCTGTACGGCTGCCCTCATTTCGGGTGGTTCCCGGTAAAATTTTTTGATGAAATTTTTTTAGCATCTTATTTATCAAGTCTAGTTTACTCATACCAAATTTCAGTTAAAACTTCAATCGGGAAGGCATTCAAATGAATTCTTGAAGATAACTGCGCTTCTAACTGCGCAGTTATTTTCAAGAATTCATTTGAATGCCTTCCCGATTGAAGTTTTAGCTGAAATTTGGTGTGAGTAAACTAGACTTAATGAATAAGATGCTCAAAAAATTTCATCAAAAAATTCCACCGGGAACCACCCCAAATGGCGACGGTCGGACAGAGCCTCCTAAATAAGGGCTTATTTGACCTTTTTTTGGTTAGTACATGGGCATATTTGCACCTTTTCCCAAAAGAAAAATAGAAGCTTGTAAAGTCAAAACTTAAAAAGATTATGAGCCCGTTTGGTAGCACCAAAATCGGCTGTTTTGGCTGATTCTGCTGAAATTTATGATATTCTGGCTGGAGTGGCTGTTTTGGCTGATTCTGCTGATTTAAGAAAAAAATATTTTAAAAATATATTTTATTAATAAATTAAAGAAAAAATTATTTGTAAAAATAGCTAAAATGGTCTTCTACAATAACTTCAGCCAATACAGCCAGAAAAGTAACTCCAACCTTACTTTTTCGGCTTATTACACAATTCAGCGCGCGAAAGTAAAAGTTACGTGTTTGGTGAAAAAGCTGGCTGATAAGCCTGATAAGCCAAAAACAGAGTTCTCCAAACGGGCTCTAAATCAGGGGTGTTTGGAACTGATTCTGCTTCTGCTTCTTAATCAGAATCAGAATCAGTTTTCAGAAGCTGGTCTCCCTCAGCTTCTAAAAAACTGAATCTAGGAGTAAATTATAGCATCAGAATCACTTCTGCACTTTTACCCAAACACTCCAACTTCTCCTTCTCCGTGTAGAGAAGCAGTTTTAAAATCAGATCCAAACACCCCATTCACCAAGTTTTTATAAGTAGAAGTTTTAGCTAAGGATGTTTTTACTTGGACTGTAATTTGCCCCAGACCAGACCAGACCAGTTCAGACCAGACCAGACCAGTTCAGACCAGACCAGACCAGACCAGACCAGACCAGACCAGACTTGGATAGTTATAAAAATACAAAGAAACCAGACCTTACCAGACCAGACCAGACCAGTTCAGACCAGATCAGACCAGACCAGACCAGACCAGCAAATTACAGTCCAAGTAAAAACATCCTAAATCGGTAAGATGATGATATTTTACTTTGTATGACAAATCTGTAATTTAATTGAACTTTTATTTGAAAACAAACCATTAAATGTTACGGAGTAGTTAACACACCATACAAGTATACAACTTTAAAATATACTCCGTAATATGTTTGCACAGTTAGGATGTTTTTACTTGGACTGTAATTTGTCCCAGTCCAGACCAGACCAGACCAGTCCAGACCAGACCAGACCAGTTCAGACCAGACCAGACAACACCAGACTTGGATAGTTTTAAAAATACAAAGAAACCAGACCTTACCAGACCAGACCAGTTCAGACCAGACCAGACCAGACCTTACTCGCTTTCACTTTCATGTACTTTTTCCATGTTCAGTTTCCTCTTTTATATTCACTTTCAGTCACCATGTGGTCATAAGTACTCATAACTACATATTAAACATAAAATACATTAGTGATAAGTGGCATTAGTAATACTCGTATTAGCTTTCATCAATGACAAGAAAATTGATAAAAATTAATATATTGTAAAACTTCGAACACAAAAAACAATAATATACACCACTAAATACATGTATTGAGCTTATACATGTAGCATTAGTGGTGTTTAATTAAAGATGTCTAAGAATAAGCTTATATTGCAGAAAACATGATAAGAATATACCATATTTAGATTTAGTTTTAAATGAACAAGTAAATAAAAGAGACGTGTCTTTTTGTATTTTTCAATCTCTGATATGTTTTACAAACCAGCTAATAAATTAGTTCAAACCAATGTTCTAAAAGGGGTTGGAGATATTCCTCGATTCAGTATTCGAGAGAGGATAAATTATAGATATAACAAGGATCAACAAACATATAAGTCGTACATCTTGGTGTTTAATTAAATTAAACCACTCAATCTAAAAAAATCCCTTTTTTTATTTACTAGTTTCATAAAAGAGATTTATTCCTTTCCCTGTGGATACGATCTCTATTTCACTATACTATGTAGGGCTGGACTCGGGCCGGGCGGCCCGACCCGGAACCGACCCGGCCCGCCCACTATAGCAACGGCCCAGCCCGGTGGCCCGGTCCACCAGCGGTTCGGGTCGAACCGGCCCGGTGGATACCGGTTCCGGGCCCGGGCCCTCCATTTGGTGAACCGGCCCGGCCGGTTCGGGCCCGGTCCGGGCCGGAATTAATTTTTTTTTTTTTGAATTTTTTTTAAGTTTTGGGTTGGATTAGGTATTTTGGGCCATTTGAGGTGGTTTGGGGTGGTTTGGGGTTGAGGGGGAGGGTTAGGGGTTAAATAAAAGAAGCCAAAAAAAAAAATTAAATACCCGGGTGAACCGGCCCGGCCCGGAACCGCCCACCCTCGGTTCAGGCTCGGGCCTCATATTTCTGAACCGAGGCCCGGCCGGGCCCAGGCCCGAGGCCCGAACTGGCCCGGTTCAGTCCAGCCCTAATACTATGTATAAGTGTTAGTATCGAATTTATTTTGACGCACTACGATAATGTGCTCGTCAAATTTGGCACCGTTGCTGGGCATGTTCACTTTTCCTTTCAAAATAGGGGATACCATATTTTCTAAGGTCTTGTTGGATTTAGGAGTATCAATAAATGTCATTCCTTATTCCTTGTATAAATCCTTACAACTCGGCTCACTACATCAAACTGGTGTAGTGATTTAACTAGTGGATCAGTCTAATACTTACCTGAAGGGTGTATTAGAAGATGTGCTGGTAGAAGTAGAAAATTTGGTTTTCCTTGTTGATTTTTATGTTCTCGAAATGAGAGATGATAACCAAACAAAACTCATCCTTTTGGGAAGACCTTTTTTTGCAACCCGCCAAAACAAAAATTGATGTGTAGTGGTTCATTAACAATAGAATATGATGACCAGAAAGTAGAATTCAACATCTTTGATTTTACCAAAAAACAAATTCAAGATCAATCTCTTTGTTCTTTAGCCGTTTTTGAACCACCAACACTAAGAGGCCGTTTGGCAACACTGTTTTTCGGCTTATCAGGCTTATCAG